CGTCAAGGATAAGGATGGTTAAATCGAACGTTGGTTGGTTAAGGAAATCGTAGTCGACGATTGGTTACAACGTTACGAAGAAACGTCTTTCGGTACGTTAAACGTGCCCACGCGAGTACATTTTACGCCATTATCGTCGAAAGAAGGATTCTTTTCGTACCGCTAAATTTTCCAGACACAGCGGCAAGATTAAAAGCACCGGTTAAAAAAATTACCCGATTCTTTCTCGCGCCTTTTCCACGAAAAGAAAGCATCGACGATGCAGCTACCGCGCTATTTTTCGTTCCAACCGCTTTCGTCGATCGTTTTATCCTTACGAAGGTTTTGGTAAAAACCTGCTTGTACGACAAAGAGGAAGAAGAGTAGAGTTCGCGAGTCCTGTCGCTCGACTAAAATAGTCCGAGGCACGATTGCGAAAATGCTCGTACACCGAGCGCCGCTCTCTAAACAGCGTAATGTCGATAATTACGGAATTGGTGTCACCGTCGCGCCGTGTCGTCGTCGTTGTCGTTGTCGTCGTCGTTGTCGTCGTCGTTGTCGCTGTCGCTGTCGTTGTCGTTGTCGTTGTCGTTGTCGTCGTCGTTGTCGTTGTCGTTGTCGTTGTCGTTGTCGTTGTCGTTGTCGTTGTCGTTGTCGTTGTCGTTGTCGTTGTCGTTGTCGTTGTCGTTGTCGTTGTCGTTGTCGTTGTCGTTGTCGTTGTCGTTGTCGTTGTCGTTGTCGTTGTCGTTGTCGTTGTCGTTGTCGTTGTCGTTGTCGTTGTCGTTGTCGTTGTCGTTGTCGTTGTCGTTCGTGTTGTCGTTGTCGTTGTCGTTGTCGTTGTCGTTGTCGTTGTCGTTGTCGTTGTCGTTGTCGTTGTCGTTGTCGTTGTCGTTGTCGTTGTCGTTGTCGTTGTCGTTGTCGTTGTCGTTGTCGTTGTCGTTGTCGTTGTCGTTGTCGTTGTCGTTGTCGTTGTCGTTGTCGTTGTCGTTGTCGTTGTCGTTGTCGTTGTCGTTGTCGTTGTCGTCGTAGTCGTCGTTGTCGTTGTCGTCGTAGTCGTCGTCGTAAGCGGCACACGTAAGTACATAAATCCCATGACGCAATCGCACCATCGAGGAATGCTTCCTAACGCCTTTCACTCTCACGAATAAATTTCACCTCGGTTCTTTGCTCGTTTTTCGTGGACAGCGGACTGCCGTTCGATGAACAAAATTTTGTTACCAACTGCGACGGAAACCGTGCTCCGTACTTGGCAATCGAACGCGGATAACTTTTGACAACGATAAATGTAAATGGATCGCGGAAGGTAATCCGACGAGTCAAACTGTCAAAACGTTAAGCGATATTCGTCGTTCGCAAATTAAATTCTACGAAATCTCTAACAACGATACATCGATCCGACCATAACGAATGCAAATATCCTCTTTCGCGCGATACCGCTGAATCACGATGACCGGATACCGCCGCTGAATCTATCCCGGACTAATCGATGGTTTTTAAATAGTCGCACGATTAACCTCGCGGTTGATTAAAACGCCGATGCGAGCGACACGCCGTCAAAGCGGCGAAATCGTATATCCGATGAAACGGCGCGCGTTAATTTCCGACGATTAACGAGCTGCGCGTAAAGTCCTCTAATTAGACGTAGATTAAAACCACGAGCGTCGAAGATCGAACGAACGGCGATAGAACGAAAATGGCGGACGAATCGCGTTCGATCAGCTCGAATCCAGTTTCTTATCACGCTGCTCGATCGTACCCGTAGCGGTTACCGCAGACATGTTGTTGCACGCGACCAGAAATTTTCCTGTTCTTTCTCGTATCGCTTGGAAAAGATGGCGGTGAACGCGTGCGAAATTCATTTGCCATTGTCCGCTGGCCATCTCGCGACGCGTCCAATCCGATTTTCACCGATAAATCGGCGGGAGAAATTGAAATTGAAAGTGCGATTTTCCTATCTATTCGCCGAAGAGGATTAGAAAGATCGATCAACGAGGGTGAATAGAAACGTGCGGCTTTCCCCGGATTAAAGTATTCCGGCGAAACGATGATCCGATTTAGACGAATGTCAACCGGCATTTTTCCACTGCGCTGCGATCCGATCTATGCAACTATGGAGAGACTAACGCGTCGATGTTCGAGCAAACTTCAGGAAGAACGAAGCAAATAAAAGGCCATGGCCGGAAACGAAGGCTTGGCTGCGCTAGTCAAGCTAGAACGGTCGACGAAATAAAATCTTCTCGGTTAATTTCGTACGAGCCTGGGATAGATACGCGTGCGAACGAATACCGGCGACCGAACCATCGCGATTCCCAGCTACGGTTCGAGGTTCGGTTCCTCGGAACCACCGTTGTTCCACCGTCATTCCGTTCCACGCTGCAAACCAGAGATACGTTCGGCAAATTTTCATCGACGCTGTTCACAGCCGATCTGCTCGAACGTCGAATTACTTCCGAATCGACAAGAGAGTATGAGCGATTTCGCAACGTCCGTCATATCCGAATCTGTTCGTCGCTCGATGCTCCGATCGATTTATTTAGCTCGAGCTAAAATTTCAGTAGAAAGTGTTGCGCGCGAACGATAGTCGTCCCGAAGGCCTTGGTCGCTCAGCGAAAAATATTATTATCGGCGGCACCGCTTATTTCCCTTACGTGTCGCGAGACACGCGTGAATTTTCTGCGAAACGAACGGAGGGCGGGTTCGCTGTGGCGCGTGTTGCGAATTCAAGCGAGACGATCTTCTTCCGGCGTGATAACTCGGGCAGACGCACGCGTCGCAATTAAGTCGCGAAAGACGTTCACGGCGTTAAATGGTTTTGCACGGTGTTAATCGCCCCGGACGATCCTCCGAGGTATTCGAACTACGTCGTCGCGCATAAATACGTTATGCCGTTACATTTTCTTGTCTAAGGTATATTTTCCGGCATCTCTGTTCGTCCAATGATTCGACTTTTAAACTTACGCGAACGTGAGAATACGTTGCGAGAACGAGTCGGCTTGCAGCGCAAAAACAGGCGCTAGATTTACGTTTGAACGAGAGAAGCAAGGTCGATCGAGTGCCATAGAGATTGGAGCAAGCTGTGGTACAAAGCGCAAGACCCGATGCAAAAACCGAAGGAAAAGCGAAAAGGAAAGAAAGATATGGAAAAACTAAAGAAGAGGAAATGGGGAGAGGGCGAGGCGAGGACAGAGCGTGGGAGAAGAGGCGAGAAAAGGAAAGAGTGTCGCTTACCTTCATGTTTGCAGCTCGTGTGGTGCAGGAAAACGAAGTTAAGCGTGACTGATGCTGGCTTCGGCGTCGATCAAGTGTTTTATACCCGGCCGTTTGCCCAGCCTCCGAATTCGTCGGATCGGTTTTAGTCGTCTTTCTCGCACCTCCGCTGCCGTTGCCGGCGGC